TAATGGCTGAATGCGTACCGCCAACTCAAAAGGTCGTGGGTTCGAATCCAATATTCGACTCATGTCGTGAACCACTCCTAACACAAACATTTTAAGCTTGCCGGCAGTATTTAAAGGGAATATTCATAATGTTAATAGCATTGCTTGAATTGTTAATTAAAACACTGTTCACACCCGATAGAAGTGGTTCCACTTTCAGAAAAAGAGACCGAAATAATAGGAAAGATTGTATACTGTATTCTATATGATTCTTTCGCAGGTCAAATCCTATAGGTGTACTCGTATATTATGTATGTGTCTCTTTTCAACCGACTTCAAAAAGAAGGAGGTATTCAATTCAACTATATGTTTATGTGTGTCATCTCATAACTTTTTTCTAAGTAAACTGATTTTGATGATTCTCTTTTATTTGAAAGCTGGTGCTTTTCATGTGGACTCATATAAATTTGATCAAAGTCCTACCAGTAGTTTTTGAGTTATACTTAATAATTTATATTGAAGTCGGTTGTACAAAGGTTTTAATATTACCACTTATTAGTGTCGCTTTTTCGTTTTATCGAGTATCGAATCATAAACGTTTCTAAAGAAGTTTTCACTTCCAATAATAAACACAATTTAAAACATGTTACAAGCTTAAGTTTTTTTCCGATACGTTCAAGCGAGGCAAATGTTAGAAGCGGTGAAACCACTGTAACTGTAACGCTCTAACCAATAATTCACATTTACCCGCCGAAATGTGTCAACCTCAATGTGTAATTGTAGTTTCTAATCACTGTGTTTACTGTTAAATATATTTAGTTTAGTTTTAGAAGGCATTATGTTTTCTGATAAGTGGTTATAAAACATTTAACTTTAAATCTTTCTATTTGAATTTCATGCATAATTAGAGTATCTGTTTCGTTTGTCGTTTTTTCTTATTCTCTATAGGAATATACTACAGTGGAATCTCGATAACTCAAATTTCAAGGGAAATGCTAAAAAAATCAAGTTACTGAGTTTTTGACGCAACCGGAATTCCGAGATTTTTTTCTCAAACATAAAAGAGCTGAGCTGCTCGAATCGTCGACGACCGAGCCCTTTCCAATCGGCTCGATTCATTGGCACTGCGAAGGGATGTTGCATCCCTTTGCATTTTCTTTCGCATCTACCATGGGGAGTGCTCTGAGGAATTGTTCGGATTAATCCCAGCCGCCAAATTTCACGAACGCACATCGCGGCAGAACTCCCGATACCATCCACACCATCTGGATGATTGGCGGTCCACCACTGTGCGATTTAGAAGATGTTTTCTTCCTCGCACGACCTCCTTGTGGAATCGATTACCATCAGCGATTTTTCCGGACCGATTCGACTTAGGGACCTTCAAGAAAAGAGCGTACTCCTTTTTAAAAGGCCGGCAACGCATCTGCAATTCCCCTGGTATTGCAGTTGTTCATGGGCGGCGGCAGTCACTTACCATCAGGTGAGCCGCATGCTCGTTTGCCCCCTCTCCTATAAAAAAAAAACATAAGGTACACACACAACACATATGTGTACCTTACCGGCTCTCTACACACACCATAAATAACAGCATTAAGTTGCTATTACACGCTGGTATTCTGTGAGAGCGAGGTTCTTCCCCGGTCGTACTGACCCATTCATGCTACAACTATAATATGCCTGCAAAATTGCTCTACCAACTATAAAAAGTTTACATTGTCAATAACAGTTGAAAACAAAAGAAATTATATCATCGTTAAAATAATAGAGGTCACAAAACGAGTAAAGGAAGTTATTGTCAATATAAACATTGGCCTGGTTTTAAATCCGGCAATTCGGGTTATTCAGAAAGCCAGCCGTACCACACTAATTGCGGCTTCGGATAGTCTACGTGAGGCGAATCTAAAATGGAAAGTTGACCGCAGTGTTGCTGAAAATTTTGTTGTTAAAGCAATTACTGGTTAACGCCTCGCCACGAACATTGTATTGTATGAATGATATTGTTTACATTAAATACATTGTTTTTTGAGTTTCAAGGTTCACCGAGGGAGAACGCCACAAGGAATTACCGTTACATCGTTACCGTGAAAGTCTGCTGAACATAGGTCTACCCATAGATTGCCTCATAAAGGGGATTACTGCCATAGTTACCACGCTTGGAAAGCGGGTTGGCAATCGCTTTTTTTAATTTTAGTCGCTGTTGGGAAGACGCTGCTATCCACCTCCTGATTTGGTTGTCTCTGTCGCTTCTTACGACACCCTCTCCCGTGGGTGGATATGGGTCCCGAGAATATATATAATATAATAATATAATATGGTATATAAGTTTTGAAGTCCCGACTTCGGAATGTGAAAATATTTTATTCTTTTGGAACGAAGTTCCTTATCGGACGGCACGGGTTTGGCGGATGGGAGCTAGGCGACAAAAAGTGTATGATATTTTCGTCACTACCCCTTGTGTCATAGTGTATTTTATTTTAAATGACGCTTCATTTTAATAGACGCTAATAATTAATTTATTTATATTTGTTAATCAATAATAAAATACGTTTATCAATAATAATATACTATGAAAGGAACTTCGTTCCAACCAAGTGTTCCACGACACTCACGTGTGTTTTTTTATTTCTTTGCTATTGGCTTCTATTTTTTATTAAAAGTCATTATTTTTAAGTAAGGATTATAGTAAACATAATATATATAAATATATAGAGATACATAGAGATATAAGATATACAGAAACATAATTGTATGTTCAAGATATTTAAACGATATTCTTACACCGCCCCTAGGTCATCTTGCGGTGATATAATATATACTTAGTTCAAGATAATATATTGCCCCATTACGTCCCATCTGTATCGTAAAAATCGACTGTGTGATATGTCTCAATGACATTTGGTTGTCGATAGATGGCTTTATACCAACTTCTTTCATTATAAGTGGCAGAGCTATATTTCTATTACACTACGGCTATATTATTATGATTGTAACACGAATAAATCGGCTTGATCTGGTGGGACCACGCCCTCACAGAATACCAGCGTATAATAGCAGCTTAATGGTGCTGTGTTTCGTGTGGTGAGCGAGGACCCATTTTAAATAGTTATTCCATTTTACAAGGCATTCCATCTTAGTCCTCAGGGGCGACAGTGCGTCCGCATTTTGATTCTTAATCGAGGGTAAATGTACTGCTGATCATAGGCCTCTCTTTGGCCTTATGAAAGGCAGTAATGATGATGAATGATGATCATCACCAAAGCAATTAAACCAATTTAATTAAGCATATTTAACACCTGATTAAGTTTAAAAAATTTGATTTCGTAGTTGTTTTCTTTTTTCAATATTAAATATTTTTTTTACAAACAAGAAACATTTTAGTGAAATCTATCATTGTTTTAAAAATACAACTGTAACTACGTTACACTTCCACATACCTAATAATGTTCCGCTATATAGATCGTAGCAGAAACAAAGTTGCTAGCCCATATTTTACGCTAATTGCCATTGAAGTTTGGGAAACGGCATAACGACCAGTGTTTGAAAGTTTAATTGTTGTTTACTGATTAACGTATAGGTGAAGAAATCAAAGGTGAGACAAAAATGAGTTGAATTGCAAAAACGTATTTTTATCATCTTTCTATATTGCCTCATATGGAGAAGGGAGGGATATTTGCCATAGTTGCTACGCTTGGCAGGTGGGTTGTCAACCTCATTTTTTATTAATTTGATTTTTTTGATAAATACTACCCTTCTGATGGAAGATGCTGCTATTACATTTCCGTTTGTCGCCTCTTACGAAATTCACGGCATAACATGTGGTAGTGGAGTTTCTGCGATATTGTAATAAAGAAAAAAAATCGGAAGAAAAAAAACTCAACAAAATTTCAACATATAAAATAAGTATTTAAATATAAGTATGTTATATGTTTAAGAAGGCTTTTATAGCGTAAGCAGTGAACCCGTACTAATGGGTTGATGGATGCCTTGCATTTATCTTTTGAAGTACACTAATGTAGTATCGAACCTTACTTATTAATTCATTGATGAAGACAATGTTCATGTAACTGGAACCGTGTAAACCACGAATCAATAAATGGGCCATTTTCAAATTTTCTGCAGGTTTTCTTGTCCCCCTCATGATTTACATATTTTTATTGTTTTAATATCAAAAATTTTACGAACTTAAGGTAATAGTAATTGAATAAATATATTAATTAAACATACTTCATATAAAATAAACTTTTATGCTAATTTTTCCACATTTTTCTTAAGTAACATAGTGGTTATTTTTGGTAACAGAGGTGTTTTCCATACAAATTCATTATGTCCCAGACATTAATACAGTGCAAAAAGACGTAGAAAACCTTGCTTTATTACTACATTGATATATAAAAAAATTATGATTAATAAATTTACAAATTATTATTACATGTTCAATGCTTTAAAACAAAATTTTGTTCTAAATTGTTTTCTTTTACTTTTTTAAAATCCCTGTCCCACGTTCCATGTAATATCACAGCAACACTCTGTTACTATAGTAGTTCACTTTAAAAAATACAGATAGCGCTACTATGGCCCCTGCAATAACCTCGGTGCAGTGTCTAAAATTGTTCGAGAAAGTTCGCGGGGGCGGGGAGAACGACTGACACGAGTCAGTCGACCGCGCGCTGTGGAAGTAGGAGCGTGTCTTTATTCAACAACCACACTGTTACCAATATTTTCGCGTAAGTAATCAATATTTTACTATTAAATTTTACATTATCCATGAGTTTTAGGTGCGCATATCTTAAATATGTAGCAATAATTTCCCTTTATGCCTTATATTATGAATAATTCTGTATGAAATCTAAAATTTACCACTCTGTTACTGAACAACTCTGTTACTAGTTGGAAGTAACAGAGTTGTAAGCTGAGTAACAGAGTGGTTATTTTTCATTGTTCAATCTTATTTCACAAATTTTATAGTAAAAAATTATTGGTTTCAGGACTTTTACTTGTACTGCTGATCGCTTTTCTATATGGCTTTAACGCCTGCTGAAAAGCAGCGACGTTATAGGGAACGACGCAAAAAGGATCCTGAAAAAGAAGCTGCAAATAAAAGAAAAGACCTCGAAAGATACCATGCAAAGAAACGTTTAGTGAAAAATTTAACGTCACGGGAACACCGAGCAATAAAAAAAAAATGGCGGGCTGCAAATGCCAGACGGAGGGACCGGGCCAAGGCTCTTCGTGTAGTAATGCATACTCCAGAATCTTCACCAGGAATTATGACTCCACGTTCACGTACTCCAACTCCGCTGGGTCCAAACCAAGTTCTGCCACGAGTTCTACCGTCGAATCGCCGTTTATCAACCCCTCAACTATTGACTCCCCATGAAAGTAGCCCTGGTTCAACGACATCTGCAGCAAAACGGGGCCGGAAACAAGTAAAAAGAAACAGAACAAAACTGTTTAGAGAAAATCAAAGATTAAAAGAAAAAATTGAAGAAATAAATAAAAAATATGAAAAATACAAGAAGAGATATAATAGAGGAAAACAAAAAGGGTCGAAAAAAGAAAGCGATAATTGTAAAAGTCAAGATAAGTATAACATATTGGCGAAAGCTATTAAAAAACGTTACGAAAAAGTTAAAAGTCGGAAAGAAAAGATAGCTATCCAAAAAATATTTGAGGAGAAGGAAGTTAAATGTTCTAGAAAGAAAATGCAAATAATAAAAGAGTGCTTGAATGTGGATCAAGGTTACATAAGAAAGGAAAAACCAAAGCTGAGGAAAAAAGTTATAAGTGACAAAATTAAAGATTTTTTTAATCGTGATGATGTATCGAGAGCAACTGCGGCAAAAAAAGAAACCGTTACCCATAAGAAAAATAAAATGCAAAAACGTTACCTACTAGACAGCATGAAGAACCTCTTTGCTTCGTTTAAACGAGAAAATCCTGACATGAAATGCTCCTACACTACTTTTACTCGATGCAGACCGTTTTATGTAATACTTCCTACTGTTGCTGGAAGAGAAACATGTTTATGTCGATTGCACACAAACGTTCAGTACTTGGCTATTGCATTGTGTAAAAATAAAGTAATTCCGACCTCAGATTTAAATAAAATTACAAAAGAACAAACATGCGGTGAAAATTTACTAGCTTGCATGACAGGACTGTGCTCTGAATGTTATTTGAAGAAAATTGAATATGATAGTACAAAGGATGACTTAATAGTAAAGTATATTCAGTGGGAAAGGAAAAATGAAATTGTAGAGAAGCTGGGAAAAAAATACAAAGTTACTAAAAACATAAAAGAAGAAAAGCAGAGTACTGTAAAATCTTTAATAGATGTATTTAAATTTCAACTCCAAGAGTTCAAGAGGCACGTTTATTACATAAAGTCACAATACAGAAACTACAGAGCTTGTATAGACGAATTGTCCGAAAATGAAGTAGCATTACATGTTGACTTCAGTGAGAATTACAGCTGTAAATATTTCGAAGAAATACAGGCCTATCATTTTGGAGGTTCACGAAATCAAGTATCTTTACACACTGGAGTCATATACCTGCGAAGTTCAGATAATAAAATAGAGGTGTCATCCTTCTGCACCGTTTCAGGTAATGTAACTCACAATCCAGCTGCAATCTGGGCTCACCTCCATCCCATCTTATCTTATATTCAAGAAAATTATACAGAAGTAAAAATCATACATGTGTTCTCAGATGGGCCTGCCTCACAGTACCGGCAAAAACAAAATTTTTATCTAATTTGCAATAAATTTTTCTCTGAATATAACTTCTATAGAGTTACATGGAATTTTTTCGAGGCAGGGCACGGCAAAGGTGCAGCAGATGGAGTTGGTGGCTTTTTGAAGCGCACTGCTGATCAACTTGTCGCACGTGGACAGGATATTGCTGATGCCTCAATGTTCTATTCTGCTTTAAAGGATATTAGTAAAATAAAAATGCATTTTATTACTGACGAAGACATTAATATATGGTCCATGGAGATTCCAGATAATGTTTTACCATTACCTGGCACCATGAAAGTCCACCAGGTGTTCACTGAAGAGAAAGGAGTTCTCAAATATAGAGACTTGAGCTGTTTCTGCAGGCGCGGCTTTTGTTCTTGCATGGATCCCAAAGAATACCGTCCACTAAAACCCGTGGATAAAAAATCAAGCTCTGATGAATGTGAACCAGATTTTATGAAAGAAATAGGCAACTTAGTCCATACACAAAGAAAGCCATTCTATAACACTGTCTACGGTTCTGACACTGATGATGATATCCCTTTATTAACAGTGAAGGACAACTTTTCACTTGGACAACCCAGTACATCAAAAGGAATTGATAACGATGCTTTGATAGAAAAGGAAAATATTCATATTGTTAAAATAAAACATGGTGTGTGCGTGTTAGTAAAAGTTTCAAGCCTGAAGCAAGACTATATTTATTTGGGAAAAGTGCTGAGCGAAGTAGAAGATGATGGCGAGGTAAAAATTATGTTTTTCAGATCTATGGACGATACTGCAAAAAAAATTTAGACTGATTGAGACCGATGTGTCTTACGAGCCTTTTGAAAATTTAATTGCAATCGTCCCAGACCCAAAAAAAGTATATAAAGGCAAAAGAGTATACTACCAGTTTGACTCTCCATTAGAAATATTTGAGAAGTAGTGTTGGTCTCATTGTGATAAATACGATCTCATAATTATTTTTATCTGTTAATTTTTAGAACTGCTTAGTTATGAGAATATTATTAGTGTGGTCTCATGTAAGAATTTTAAATGGTAAGCTTAAGTTATTACGCTAGGCGTAGTACAAAAACAACTATGTTAATTATTTACAACTATGTTACTTTTCTGTCCCAAAACTTGTAAGGTCTAAAATATATTTTTTAGGAAAACTAGATTTTAAAATATTTTAAATGGGCTATGAGCCAGTTGATAATATTCGTAGTTTTCAAAATAGCATTATAAGATGTTAAAAGTATAATTTCCAGAGACTTTAGTAAAAATATACGGTTTGTTAATGTATCAAAAGTAACAGAGTTGTTTAAGAATTTATTTAAATAAACTTTAATAATAGTTTGAAACATGATTCTGCGTGTTTTCAAAAGATTTTAGACTATAATTAACAATAATGCCAAACAACTTGTGATTCATGTGTTCGTTATAAAAATAAAAGAAAATTTGCATTGGTAACAGAGTAGTATTTAATTTCGCCTCCAAACATAAAACCTGAAAAAAACCTCAAAATTCCTAAAAAAACATCGTGACCAACAACAGTACATTAAAATTTAATGTATATAATAGTCAAATATAAATGAAAAAATTATATAGCAATAGTTTTAAGAAAAAATCTTTTTTGGATTTAAAGTAAGAAAAGCCTGCAGAAAATATGAAAATGGCCCAAATATATGAAATTATAACTCATAGATATCTGTAGCGACTCGGGGCTAAATGCTTAAAAATTCCAAACATACCGGGTTCGATCCCCATTAGCACCAATTGCAATTTTAAGAACTGATTTAACGTTCTCGGCGATGAAGGAAAACATAGTTTAGGACCTGAGTAAATTTAGGAACATTACTTCTTTGTGCCAAAATCAGCAAATTACATCACTTGTGTGGTCACCTCGGCGTCTGTCTGTCACAGAAAATTACCCAGATACTATTTGATGTAGATGATTGAATTTGGCATAGTTATAATATGCTACGGGAAAACAGAAGTGAGTGTTTCAGAATAACATTAGTATGTAGAATTGCGTTATAAGGTGCCAAGTAAATTTATTTTCCAAATGTGAAATAAGTATAAGTTTAGAAACACCTACTTTTTCATATCGGGCATTAATATAAGTCTAGCAAAACCTATCACTTTTTCATCGGGCATGTTATCCGATATATTCTTATAAAGGGTAAATTGTCTTGGAATCATAATTACATCAGTTACTTTTTACTCTTTACATTTATTATCACGTTTTTATAAAGTTAAGTATCTTGTTTGTCTGTCTGTCTGTCGTTCGGGGTGGAATCTTGCAACCCTTTAACTAACTTCCCGATGACAATGCATGAACATAAAATAAAACGTAGTATACAAATTTTTTTTAGAACAAAATATAGAAACAATACTACCAGATAAATAAATGTGAATTTTATTTTGATATAATAATATTAAATTTCACGCTTTTATAATTTTTGGCATATTGTTTATGGCGATATATGATTCAACATCATTGGCCCTATTTAATGATGATTGTTATTAATTTTTTTTAAATATAATCCTGATGATTACTTCCTGGTTTTTCCTAGTACAAAGGTATTTTCCAAACCAATAGTTAAGATGAGAAAATGACTTTCAGTAAGTTTTATGTAATAAAATATATTAAATAAAAATATTTTATTCTATTGCATTTGCCATAAAATAAATACTGATGTACCTTTAAGTAGACTTCAAAATTTCATTAACGTAATTCTATTCAACCGTAGCTAGGAAAGCTCAGTAATCGCGAGGGTGAAAACTGACAGCGATCATCGAATGGTAAGAGGCACACTGAACTTAAACGCTAAGTTGGAGAGGTCAAGTATAATATAGTTAACGCTCCATCACCCTCAAACTCTAATCCAAAATCCCGAAACTTTTCAGCTCGAGTTACAAAACCGTTTTCACCAGCTAGAAGACAGCATCTAACTGGACTATATGAATGATATGCTCGTGGAAACGGTCCATGCGGTCGGAGCTAAGTTCTGTAAAAACTGCCGCAGAAGGACACAAAAATTCTCCAATCAATCTCTTAATCTCATGGCTGTTATATGGAAAATGAAGCTGCAGTCTTCAGCAGATTTGATAGCATACATACAACTGAACAGATATATCTCCAAACGGATGCGGCGGGACTTACTTAACTTCAATATAATTCGTATTGAAAAAGTGATAGAGCGGAACCAAGACACAAAAGTCTTTGCCAGAGATCTGTCTGCCAGAAAGAGCCAACTGTCAAAGCTGAAGACCGATTGTGGCAGAATTGTTTCCGGGACACATGAGATTTTCAGTGAGATTCGAGACACATGAGATTTTCAGTGAGATTGATAGTTTATGGGCGGGTGTAAATGACATTCAACGACGAGGTGAATAGTTGACGATATCACGGACGTTAGTCTGAGCAAGATTAGCATGGCCCTCCAGCACTTTAAAAATAGCAAGGCCCCAGGCAATGATATAATTACAGTGGAGCTTCTGAAAACGGGTGGAAAACCGATACGTGAAGTCCTTCAGAAGCTCTTTAATTCCGTCTTCAATGGTGGTACTACTCCGGAGGCGTGGAGCAGAAGTGCGGTGGTCTTGTTTTTTAAGAAAGGCAATAATGCTCTCTTAAAGACGTACAGACCGATTTCCCTTCTCAGCCGCATCTACGTGCTGTTTTCGAGAGTCATTACAAATCGTCTCGCACATAGAATTCCGAACAGGCTTTAGTACCATAGACCACATTTATACCCTTCAGCAAATTGTACAAAAGACCACAGAGTACAATTTGCCACATTGCCTTACGTAAATGGACTATGAAACAGCCTTTGATTTTATCAAAATTTGGGCGGTGCTACAGTCCCTTCAGTGGTGCCCAGTTGACTTTCAAAGTGCTGAAGTGTTTGTACAGTAGGACAATGATGTCTATCCGAGTACAGAATCAGAGCAATAAACTTATCCAACTGCAGGGAGTTGTAATACAGAGTGAGGTTATATCCCCGAAAATCTTCACCACTGTATTGGAACATTAGAACATTAGAACATTAGGTCCGTAGTAGACGGTGCATGCTCCGATTACAAGCCTATTAACGCTGGTATTCCACAAGGCTGCGTGCTATCACCAACGCTGTTTCTTCTGCATATCAACCATATGTTGCAAACTGGAAACATAAATGTCAATGCAGATGACAGCACTAATGATACTTTATACACCGGCCGTGCCAGTATTTCTCGGGCAATCGTCGACGAGTACCGGAACAAACTTGTGTCTGCAGTCAAGACTGCATGTCTCGGATTGGGGGTGACTAAATCTAGTCCAGTTCAATCGCAAAAGTTTGCGCGTTTACCGCTAAAAGGAACCCCTTTGTCGTATCTTCTCAGTTTCAAGGCACTCCCCTAGTTGCCTCAGCCAGTATCGGAATCCTCAGTGTCGAAATATCGAGTGACATGCAGTTTCGTAGTCACTTGGAAGAGAAGGTCAAATTAACCTCTAAAAAGCTTGGCGTGCTCAGCAGAGCGGGACAGTATTTCATGCCTGCGCAACGCCTGCAACTTTACAAGGCGCAGGTTCGGCCTCAACTGAAATACTATTCCCATTTTTAACGGTGGTAGAGCCACGCAGCAGTTTTTGCTGTTGCACGTATGGGCCGGCTCGAGCCGGGTTGGTACCACGACCTCACAGAATACCGGCGTGAAGTAGAGGCTCTGCTTCTGCGTTTCGTTTGGTGAGTGCAGGTGGCCGGAGGCCCAATTTGGAATTACACGATAGAATACCCCAGGTGGGTACCAGTACCCCTGGAGAATCCCTCGCTGAGCATCCACGACCATGTTATTTCAATCCTGAGCGTGGATGCTCAGGCTGCCCCGCATATTCTGGGGCGGGCAAAATTCCGCTATCCGTGAATTTCTGCAACATCAGGGGACTTCACTCGTACCTAAATGCCGTCCACTACCATCTCGAGACGGCGAAGCCGGCCTTGCTCTTTCTGACCGAGACGCAGGTTTCCTCTCCGGCTGATATTTCGTATCTCTCCTACCCGAGGTAAAAATTGGAGCACTCCTTTGTGCCTCGGGCTGGAGTTTGCGTGTATGTCAGAGAGGACATCTGTTCTCGACGCCTCGACAGTCTTGAAGGTTCGGACCTGTCCATCCTTTGGCTTCGCGTAGACAGCGACGACCATTCGCGCGTCTACGGGTGCCTCTATAGGTCCTATAGCGGTAATGCCGAAACAGACCGACTCATCGACCACGTCCAAATGGCTACAGATTCCTTGCTACAACAGGTCCCATCCGCAGAGATCGTGATCCTTGGTGATTTTAACGCCCACCATGCCGAATGGCTCAGTTCACGTTTAACCGATCATGCGGTGAGATCTGTTTATGATTTTGCCTTGGCATATGGTCTGACAAAACTGGTTACTTCGCCTCCGAAGATTCCAGATGTGGAGGATCATACACCTTCCCTGTTGGACCTTCTGCTGACCTCTCATCCGGACGGATATCAGGTTTCCGTCGATACCCCTCTCGGCTCTTCGGACCATTGTCTGATCCGGAGTGTGGTGCCACTCACGCTCCCTTCGCGGCTGCGTTCTGCATGTTGCCGCCGTGTTTATCATTACAGGTCGGCGGATTGGGACGGAATGCGGTCTTTCTTTGCATCCTACCCATGGGGGCGGGTTTGCTTCTCGCCGGATGATCCCAGCACTCTTGCTGACTCTGTCACTGATGTGGTGCTACAGGGAATGGAACTATTTATTCCATCATCTGTGGTACCCATCGGAGGCAGATCTCAGCCCTGGTTTGGTCGCTCCTGTAAGATTGCATCACGCAGAAAGCAGGAGTGTTATCAAGCCTGGGCTGCGGCTTCGGCGAATCGGGATGTAAACACCAGCACATTTAAAAAGAAGTATAACTTCGCCTCCCGGTCTTTCAAAA